GGGGGGGGGGGCTCTGGTTTTGGTGTCATCCTTGGCCCCTGCCCACTGGATGCCAGTAGCATCTTGACTCTCGAATTGTGACAACCAATGATGTCTCCCTACTCTGCCTAACGTCCTCTGGGGGAGAGAAGCAAAAACCACCCTCTTTAAATAAGCATTTGTGGCCCGGCCGGGCGCGGCTCAGCAGTTGAGTGTCGACCTAGGATCCAGGAGATTGGGGTTCGATTCCCGGTCAGGGCACATGTGCGGGTTGGGGGCTCGATCCCCAGGTCGGGGGTGTGCAGGAGGCAGCCGATTAATGACTCTATCTTAATATTGACGTTTCAACTCTCTCCCTCTCCCTTCTTCTCTCTGAAATCAATAAAGATATATTAAAAAAAAAAAGCATTTGTGGAGTTAACAATGCAATGAAGGAGACATTAGAAGGACGGAAACTCCCAGGCCTACCACTCAGTAGTGCGACCTTGGGCATGGCCCTCAGCCACTGGAGGCTCAGTTTCCTCTTCTTAAAAAAAGCTGGATAACATCATCTGCCCAGCCTGTGCCACACTGTCACGTGTCACAGAGCTGCTAGGCACATCAAGGGGGATAAAGAATGGAAAACCAGGTGAAGAACACAAAGTACTAGACCAATGTATGGGATTAAAATACTTCTCATCTGGAGCGTTTACCGGCTCACCCAGGTCCTATATACAGGTCCATTCTGATGGAGGGGAAATGAAAAGTGCAGGGTCATGATGTTTTCGGAAGGTCAGGCCACATCAGAGATGGCCTGGGCCCCAGCCCTCAGGGGAAGGAGGGCTGTGGTATGGACAAGGTTCAGAGGGCACAGATGAGTTTTAACTGATTCACACTTTTGCCAAAGGTGAGGCCGTAGGCTTTGGTCCCAGGTGGAGGGAAAGCAGCTTCACAGAGGAGGGGACACCATAAACCCATTATTCCAGGACGAGACGCTGCTCACAGGTGTTCCTTTCTGTGTCCTGCTAGACGCCAAACTGTCCTGAGCTAAAAATAACCCAACTGGGGAATCAGGGGCTGACCAGGAGCAGGTTTTCATCCTGGTCTCATCTCTGTCC